TTCGGGCAGGAGCTGACTTACACCACCCTGCTGAGCGACGGGCGCATGGTGGAGCTGGTCTCTGGGGGCGGCAGCACCGCGGTCACGTTTGAGGACCGCAGAGAGTTCATTCGCCTGGTGCAGAAAGCCCGGCTGGAGGAGAATCGAGAGCAGGTACAGCGCAGCCGCGACGCCGGCCCAGGACGGTGCATCACGCCCCCCTCCCCCCCCCCATAACATAACGCACTCGGCCGGGAATTCACTCCAGAGATCGCGCGTCACTCGCGGCCCCATTCCGCCATTCTGTGCTCTGTCTCGTGCCTCCTCTGGCTGATCTCTTGCCCGTGTGGTCGGGGGGGCGGGGTCTTTCAGATCGCCGCCATGCAGGCCGGGCTGGTGAAGGTGGTGCCCCAGGCCGTGCTGGACCTCCTGACCTGGCAGGAGCTGGAGAAGAAAGTCTGCGGAGACCCAGAGATCACAGTGGAAGCCCTCAAACGCCTCAGTGAGTCGCGCGTCCCACGCACAATGCTCACGGCTTAAGCACCCCGAAACCACGGGCCCCTCCGGCCACTGGCCAGCAGACGTCGACAAAGTCAGGGAAAAATTGCACTTGGCACGGCTGTACTAATCGAATCATTCAGAATTCTTTTGTTCTCCCAGCACGATACGAGGATTTGGAGCAGTCCGATGAGCGAGTCCAGTACCTGTGGGAGGCGCTAACCAACTTCACCAACGGTCAGTGAATATCTGGGCTGAAGGCGTTCTTCAGGGGCTGCTGCTGGGGGTGCCGGCTGATTGCACTCGGCAGCAATTACACACCTCCTGACAAACCATGTCTCTCCTCCCCAGAGGACCGCAGCCGGTTCCTGAGGTTCGTCACCGGAAGGAGTCGCCTTCCTGCTCCCATCTACATCTTTCCTGACAAACAAGGGTGAGGCCTGGTCCCAGGGCTTGTTGTTGGGGAATTTCCAGTTTACAAGACGGATTAAACAACCCAGCAGCTGTTTAAAAGTCTCCTTCTTTCTTAACTCATCAAGTATTGATGTTATTGTCTTCTGTGTTTGATACATTTTATCAGAACGTTTTGCTAACATCATATAGAGGGTTATTGTTATTCTGTAAGGTTTTTATTGGACAGAAATTGGCAGCATTGCTAGCTGAGCTGTGTGATGTCATTAGAATAAATGTGAAAGAATGTATCTTTTATTTTTATTTAAGAACTGAAACCACAGATGCCCTTCCACAGTCTTCCACCTGCTCCAGTACTCTGTATCTGCCAAACTATCCCAGGTGAGTCCAGAATCTGGCACTGGGCACATAAGAAACACCGGGCTGCCTGATGATATGGATTAAACTGGTATCGGAAGAAACTTGCAATGCTGAAAATGAACAAAACAGTGTATTTGAATAAGAAAAAAAAAGGTGAAAAATTCCATTGCCAGTGTCTCATTTTTTGTGAACACGGGTTTATTGCTCTAATGCCTGTTGCAAGAATGCTTTTGCTTACCCTTCGTGGAAGTTTAATATGATGTCACACTACCCTGACTCATCCTTGGCGTAACTGTCTTTTTGTTTTCGTCTGCAGCGCTAAGGTCTGCGAGGAAAAACTCCGCTATGCTGCTTACAACTGTGTGGCGATAGACACAGACATGAGCCCCTGGGAGGAGTGACGAACACAAGTTATACTGTTGCTCCACCACCTGGTTTTCTATTCTCTTCCTGCAGCTGATCTCGTTCATATGAAATACCTACAGTGAATGCCAATCACATCTGTACATAATGGAAATAAAGAGGGTGAATTATAAGGCTGGATTTTATTTATTTTTCTTTTGTACTTGTAAAAGGATGGCTGAGACTTAATGGACACTGCAGCACGTTGGATTGTGATGTGCTTCTGAAGTCTGTTTTCATGGTAGTTTATTTCTTTACAGAAATACTTTGGCTTCTTCAGTGGTCCAGTGGCAGAAGACAATGTATGTAAAAACAGGTTTCCCAGCTGTATTTGCCCCTAGAAAAGTCAGCAGTGCTCAGCCTGTTTCACAGCATGTCCAGGTTTATTTCACTTATCTGCTTTTTGCTGTACTTTCTTGCACTAGCAACTGGACAGCTCTGTAGTAAGGGTGTCAGCACTGCTGCAACAAAGTCCTGTATTTAGGGTTTGATTTCATCCTTGGGTATCTGTGTGGAGTCTGCACGTTCCCCCTGCATTTTTGTAGGCTGTCGCCAGAAACACAGGTCTCCTTCCACCTCCGAGAGGTGTCTGCAGTGCCAGGCAGGGTTGGCATGGCGGATATCCTGTTGAGGGAGAAGGCACCCAGTCTAGCTCCGCACCCTGAGCACAGAGGATGGGCTCCTGCTCGCTAGCGCCCTCATCGGGAGAGCGGCCTGCTGATGATGGACTGATGACATGC